TGAGATATGGTGTTCAAATGGCCAAATAAGTCTCGTTACGGGGTGAAAAACATGGAAACATGCACCATTAGATTTTATATAGAGAACACATTTTCTTTTACGATTTTTATATTTGTGATTAACCTCTTTTTGACTCTTCACTTTATGTCAACTTTTTTTCTGCCATATTCCTTTATGGGTATTTAGCTGAAAGGAGGCTTGATATTAATCTTGATCCGCAACAAATTGTCAGTATGGAACCCTTGTATTTGTTATATATGTTTAAACTGAGCAACTGGTGAGTAATCCTACACATATCTTAAGATAGAAAAGGCTTTGGGTGGAGATGATATAATGTCTCTTTGAATCTTTATTTGTTAGGCTTNCTAAATTAGTCATTTTCGAGAGAAACAATTGAACTAGCATAACAAAGCAGCATAATAAAAAATGAGCGATCTAAAAACAACCACAGCAAAAATTAGTCTAAACATAACTGCCTAACACAGCATCACTGAAGAAGTAGAGGGGAGGTTCCAACAAAACTAGAAATAGAATCAACAAGATAAAAAATAAAAACAGAACAGAAGAGGAGGAAGCAGAATCAACANAGAATCTTTATTTGTTAGGCTTGCCACTTTGGCCCGAGTCAAGCTACTCTGCTCGACATTCTTTGACTCATTTGTTAAGAAAATTTTGGATTTCTCATTCCTCCATTCTCCATTCTATGTGATGGGACGCCATCAACCAAAATGGATGCGATACAAAGTTAGAAAGAAACATCCTTACTTGGACCAGATTGTAGTTTTTGGAGTAGAAGTAGTGGGTGATGAACTCCCGTTGTCATTGAACACCATGACATTGGGGTGCTCACTTGCTTCAATTGATAAAAGTGAGACCCAGATACTATTTTTAGACCATGTTTTTACAAAACCCACATAATTCTAAAATACCTTACATCCTATATTCTATATAGTGTTTTTGTANGGGAAAGAATTAGAAGAGGAGGAAGAGAAGAAGAAAAAGAGAAGCATCAGAGGACATAGACATACCTTTAGTGTCTCTCTCAATCTGATGTAGGCCAGAGAGTTTGCTGCAGTGGGCTTCCTTGGTGAGTGTTGCAAGCCACTTTTCCCTGGTCAGTCTAGTTCAGGGTCAGAAGAATAAGAAGAAGAAGAAAAAGGGGAGAAGTGGTATACCTTCTTGCGAGCGATGTAAGAAGAGAAGAGGTTTCCCACTGTTTGCTAGCTCAAATCAATTTGGNCAAGACCCCATAATCCTTGTAGATTAATGCTACACAGATTTAAAAAATTAACTTGATGATGTGGCTGTTATATTTGTCATTGATTTAACTGTAGGTCTCAGTATTTATTGGGACCTACTACCTATTCAATGGTAATAATTTATCAAATCAAGTTTTTGGGTCACTTTTTTAAGTCTATTTAGCATTTTCCATCCTAAAAAGACATCCAAATCAGGATTTTAGTAATTCCTCACATTATTCAATATTTACATATTTATCATACAANACTTTTTTCGCTTCTTCACCTTTGCTCGCTTTTCTCTCATCTATGTTCGCTTCGCTTGGCATGCTCAATGCTTCACTTTGCTTCTCGCTTATGCGAGCACCTAGGCTCGCTTTTCACACTATTGATCCAGGGCGTGACAAAATAGGACTAAAACTAGGATTCAAATGCTTATATCTTCAACCAATTGACCATTCAACCCAAATANGAAAATCTTGCCCCTTAGCCATAATGGGCTCAAACTTGTGTCCATAATGGGCTCAAACTTGCATTAACAACAGGTTGGATGGTTTAGAACTTTTAGGCCATTCCTTGACAAAGGATTAACATCTCGTTTCAAAATCTCATTTCAAAAAGGTTGAAACGTTTTCGTTTCCATAGAAATCAAAATAAATTAGTTATTGAATATCTTAAATCCCATNATTAACCTATTTCTCCGTTGAGCAAGGTTGTATGTAACACCCAAGCAGTTTTGCACCTTCCATCTAAAATAGGAGGCCAATTAGGTCTAAGGGCTTTGCATAAGTTTTTAGCTGAGAGTCATTGGTGAAATGTTCACTAGGGTATTGGCTGAAGCCATGGCTTAACTTTCGACGATATTTTTGCCTTCCGAATCAATTTGGTGGGGAGGAATATAGAGAATCTATGCATANATTCCTTAATTTCCATTCAGTTTTCAAAATATTTTTGAAATGTTTTCGTTTCTTGGGAACCAAAGCAATTTGCCAAAATCAAATTTTGATCCCAGTCCTTGACCTCATTCTTGTATGATATATCTAATTCCGTATTCTATAGACACTTCCATCTCTTTAACTGGGTCCCATTTTCTTAAATTTACTTTTGGACGTAGCAAACTTCTGTAAACATTTCCCACCTGACACCTGCAGCTGTGGTCATGTATCATAGAATTTGATACAAGTTCGTTNTCTCCAGAAAAACTATCTGATGGGAGAGTGTAAGATTTGAATGAATCAAAAAATCCACGAGAAGTGAAGCCTAGGAAGTTTGATAAGATAGTAAAAGAAGACTAAAAGTTTGGTCAACCCACCACTTATTCTCCCAAAAGAGAAATCTATGCCNAAAGCGCTTTTGCTATTTCTCAACAACATGGACCATGAACTCAACTAGGCTTCATAACAAGATGAAAAATAATTTTGTACGTACTTTTTGGTTGTGTATATTAAAAAGAAATTAGTGAAAAATTTAGCATAGAATTAATCAATAACAGTTGATTATTGGGATTTATAACAAACCTAGGTTGTGTAACTTGTGTTTCAATTTAATACATGATTGAGTTGAAATGTACTATGCAAAAATTATTGTCTTTGTCATATTTTAGTAAGGCTGAATTGATATTGTTTTTATTTTCGTAGTCTTGGATCATAAAATATTTCTCATANCTTTCTGCCATATTCTTGTATGGGTATTTAGTAGAAAGGAGGCTTGATATTAATCTTGATCCGCAACAAATTGTCGGTATGGAACCCTTGTATTTGTTATATATGTTTAAACTGAGCAACTGGTGAGTAATCCTACACATATCTTAAGATAGAAAAGGCTTTGGGTGGAGATGATATAATGTCTCTTTGAATCTTTATTTGTTAGGCTTGTCACTTTGGCCCGGGTCAAGCTACTCTGCTCGACATTCTTTGACTCATTTGTTAAGAAAATTTTGGATTTCTCATTCCTCCATTCTCCATTCTATGTGATGGGACGCCATCAACCAAAATGGATGCGATACAAAGTTAGAAAGAAGCATCCTTACTTGGACCAGATTGTAGTTTTTGGAGTAGAAGTAGTGGGTGATGAACTCCCGTTGTCATTGAACACCATGACATTGGGGTGCTCACTTGCTTCAATTGATAAAAGTGAGACCCAGATACTATTTTTAGACCATGTTTTTACAAAACCCACATAATTCTAAAATACCTTACATCCTATATTCTATATAGTGTTTTTGTAAGACCCCATAATCCTTATAGATTAATGCTACACAGATTTAAAAAATTAACTTGATGATGTGACTGTTATATTTGTCATTGATTTAACTGTAGGTCTCAGTATTTATTGGGACATACTACCTATTCAATGGTAATAATTCATCAAATCAAGTTTTTGGGTCACTTTTTTAAGTCTATTTAGCATTTTCCATCCTAAAAAGACATCTAAATCAGGATTTTAGTAATTCCTCACATTATTCAATATTTACATATTTATCATACAATTGCATAAAAAGCCATGAACTATATGCCTTTTCTTTTCTTTAGTTGTTTTCTTTCCAAAAATCTTGCCCCTTATCCATAATGAGCTCAAACTTGCATTAACAACAGGTTGGATGGTTTAGAACCTTTAGGCCATTCCTTGACAAAGGATTAACATCTCGTTTCAAAATCTCATTTCAAAAATGTTGAAACGTTTTCGTTTCCATAGAAATCAAAATAAATTAGTTATTGAATATCTTAAATCCCATGTTTTGAGGTGCTTCGGTATGTTTTGAAGTGTTTTGCTATGTTTCCAAAATTTTCCTTAATTTCCATTCTGTTTTTAAAATATTTTTGAAATGTTTTCGTTTCTTAGGAACCGAAGCAATTTGCCAAAATCAAATTTTGATCCCAGTCCTTGACCTCATTCTTGTATGATATATCTAATTCCGTATTCTATAGACACTTCCATCTCTTTAATTGGGTCCCATTTTCTTAAATTTGCTTTTGGACGTAGCAAACTTCTGTAAACATGTCCCACCTGACACCTGCAGCTGTGGTCATGTATCATAGAATTTGATACAAGTTCGTTCATTTCTTGGGCATATGTTCTATACTTTTCATTTGATGTACTTCCTTTTCTAAAAGACTGCACATCTATGATTATGTACACGGTTGGAGCTACACTCTAAGGTATGGGGGCAGTTGCCGCCACTGATTTGTGAAGAAGACTGTGATATGTAGTATAATAAAAATATCATTATGTTAATTTTGTTACATTGCCCCCTTCAAGTTTTCAGAAATTTGTATAGTGTCCCTCCTTTCGTTTTTGGTTAGTTAATGGTCCACTCGCCCCCTAACCTAGTGAAATATTCTAACTCATATGTATTGCCCAAACCCTGATCCTTATTTAATGCACTTCCTCTTATTTTTTGACAATTTAGTTGCTCATAAACCAATATTATATAAACANCTTTTACATACATGACCTCATAGAACATTTTAGAAATTTGAAAAACATATTTATCAGGAAAAAAAGAGAAAAGATGACTTCGTAGCCATTCATAATTTTCCAGGTTTGGAGGCAGTGGAATGTTAGAAAACTGAATTCAATTGTATTTGATGTCATCTTGAGGGTCATTCCTTGATTAGTAATCCATGTCTTACCAAACTTGGATCAAATACCAAAAATAAATTCCAAAGGACAGGTTGGATTGGTTGGGTAGATTGGTTGGGCATGGATTTGAACTGCTGAATGTTCTACTAAGTTTTTGCTAATTTTCCTTGCAATTTCCTGATGATGAATTTTGCCAGGCCTACACCTTTGTTGCTGTTTGGTGGAGTTCGTGATAATTCTTCTCAGCGTAAGGTTAGACATTAAAATCTGTCAGTGATATCCCTTCAATAACACTTGTGTTTTCTAATGTCGGTTGTGATTTTGCAGTTGCGAAGTAATGTCAGATATCTCTCATCTGCAGGTGCCATATTCTCTGTTCCATTCTATTTAGCATCTCTTCTTAATTTCCTATGATTATATATCTCTTGGATGCTAGCTTGAACTTGAAGAAGCTTGTGTGGTTTTCATTCTGTTCCAGTTCTTTTTGTTGATTGTTTAGCCCCTTGTTCCAATTCGTAAACGTGTTTAGGTTCTTGTCCGTGAACATGGTATAGGTTTCCCAATTTTATCTTCAGGACAACCTTGACTTTTTTNCGTTGCAGGTCAAACAAGGTAATGCTAAATTATTGATCATAGAAAAATCTGCCACTTTTACATACATGACCTCATAGAACATTTTAGAAATTTGAAAAACATATTTATCAGGAAAAAAAGAGAAAAGATGACTTCGTAGCCATTCATAATTTTCCAGGTTTGGAGGCAGTGGAATGTTAGAAAACTGAATTCAATTGTATTTGATGTCATCTTGAGGGTCATTCCTTGATTAGTAATCCATGTCTTACCAAACTTGGATCAAATACCAAAAATAAATTCCAAAGGACAGGTTGGATTGGTTGGGTAGATTGGTTGGGCATGGATTTGAACTGCTGAATGTTCTACTAAGTTTTTGCTAATTTTCCTTGCAATTTCCTGATGATGAATTTTGCCAGGCCTACACCTTTGTTGCTGTTTGGTGGAGTTCGTGATAATTCTTCTCAGCGTAAGGTTAGACATTAAAATCTGTCAGTGATATCCCTTCAATAACACTTATGTTTTCTAATGTCGGTTGTGATTTTGCAGTTGCGAAGTAATGTCAGATATCTCTCATCTGCAGGTACCATATTCTCTGTTCCATTCTATTTAGCATCTCTTCTTAATTTCCTATGATTATATATCTCTTGGATGCTAGCTTGAACTTGAAGAAGCTTGTGTGGTTTTCATTCTGTTCCAGTTCTTTTTGTTGATTGTTTAGCCCCTTGTTCCAATTCGTAAACGTGCTTAGGTTCTTGTCCGTGAACATGGTATAGGTTTCCCAATTTTATCTTCAGGACAACCTTGACTTTTTTTCCAAATTTCCCCTCAAGATGATAATTAGTAATTCATTTTTCTTTCGGTATATGGAGTTTTATACTACTTAGTCATGAACTTCCTGCTGCTACTTGCATTGGATGTCACAATGCTTGTTTGTTCGGTTGAGCCAAGTATTAAGCATGTGATTGAGGTATGATCACATTTTAATCTCAGATTGGCATTATTATAAGTTTCAAATAATTTAGTTGTAGTTCCTAAACTCAGCATCTATGTTTTAAATTTCAATTATTTTTATTTTCAATTTTTAACCATCCTTCTTTTGGGGATGCAACTAGAGTGGGTCGGAGACTCAGAAGTCAACCCGCCATGCTTACCCCAAGCTATGCCAGTGTCTGTCTAAGCCCAATACAATGCAAATCCTGTTTTTCCTTTTTGATTGTTTAGCCACCAGCTCGAGTTCCTCTATACTAACGTAGAGGGTGTTTTGGTTTAGGCAAAGAAGGGACAGGATTTAGCTGTCTATCAAGTTATCTAGGCTATCTTTTATCTTGGTATGAAATACTTGAAATGGTGAACAAGTGAAGTGCAGACAAACAAATGGAACTTATTTGAGTTAGGGGGATATCAAAAACAGTGAAGGTGAAGAGCAGGAGTAAAGAGAAGTGACCGAGAGCGACCTGCGGTGCGGCTGGGGTTTAAGTTAAAATGGTCAAGTTACTTTGAAATTTTCATAGGTAGCCTTACCCTCATTTTAGAGAGGCTGATCACCAAGCTTAAAAGAGCAAATTGATACATATATAAATTGGTATTTGTGCTCCTATATATGTAAAGGACTGAACTTTTAATTCGATTGTGGTGGTCCTTGCAGACCTTCCTTCACATACAGTTATCGGAATGCCAGCTTTATCTCCTACAATGGTAAGCTAATAGATCTTTGAAATAGTTGTGATACTTCCTTTTTCTGATTATGTTATCTTCTCTGTTAAGATGACCTACATGTATGCCTACTTCTGTCCAGACTCAAGGTAATATTGCTAAGTGGAGGAAGAAAGAAGGAGATAAGGTCAGTTGTATTGAAAGTTGGTATATTATGTGATCTGTTGAAGCTAAATATTGTGACACTAATAGATTATTGCATAAACTCAA